TTCCTCCCTTCTTTCCTTCCTTCCTTTCTTCTTTCTTTTTTCTCCTCCTTTCCATTCTTCCTTCCTCCCTCCTTCCTCCCTCCCTTCCTTCCTTCTTCCCTTCTTTCCGTCCTTCTTTGTCTTTTTCCCTCCTTTCCATTCTTCCTTCCTCCCTCCCATCCTCCTTCCCTCCCTCCCTTCCTTCCTTCCTTCCTCCCTTCTTTCCTAACTTCCTTTCTTCTTTCTTTTTTTCTCCTCCTTTCCATTCTTCCTTCCTCCCTCCCTCCCTCCCTCTCTCCCTTATTTATCTATTTATTTCTTCGGAGCTATGCACAGAGCCCATCCTCAGCCAGTGTTGAATGAGAATAGGCGGGCTGGGCGAGTTGGGCTGCTGACACCAGCCTGGTTTCTGAAGCCTTAGCTTCCTTGGCCCCTCTGGCCCTAACTGGTGCTGTTCTCCCTCTAACCCACAGCCCTGGATTGCCCACCCCACAGTCACTACACAAACTGCCTTCCATCCTGCCCGCCCTCCTGCATGGACCCGGAGAGTCACTGGGAGGGCTCTGGCCACAGGGTCCCCATCACCTGCAAGGAGGGCTGCATCTGTCACCCCGGCTTTGTGCTCAATAACGACAAGTGCGTGCTCAAAGCTCACTGTGGCTGCGAAGACGCCCACGGCAGCTTCGTGCCGGTGAGTGGGCGCAGAAGAGAGGGTGGGGCCCCGCTCTCCTTGCCTCAGTCTAGAGCAAACCTTCTGTGTGAAGGGGGTCAGGCTGGGTACCGGCCCCACTGGTTACCCCTGGGCTGTGAGCTCAGCCACTTAATGGGAACTGTCCACAGGAGCTCTTCCTGGACCCCACCTTCCAGCCGCAGGTGCAGGTTTTGTTGTTATTTTTCCATCTGTGGTTTACTGACTCAGTACAGTTGAAAGCGGCAGACGGCTGGTTCCTCAACGGGAGGGAAGCAGCTCTTCCCCTCCCTGGCTTCTGCAGGAAGGCAAGAACTGGATCGCCAGTGGTTGTGCCCAGAGCTGCATTTGCATTGGAGGGGTCATTGAGTGCCAGCATTTCCAGTGCCCCTCAGGGGCTCAGTGCCAGGACAACGAAGATGGCAGCAGTGACTGTGTCAAAATCAGTAAGGGAGCCAGGGGGCAGGGGAGAGGGTGTGCTCATGGCTGGAAGGACCCATGGCAGAGCGAGAAGGAGCTTGGACCTCTGGCCTAGGAGGGGAGGGGAGGAGGCCGATGAGTCTCCGCAGAGGGGGTCTGCGGAGTGGCGGACTCCCAGCTGGGCTGACTGCCCTCTCAGTTTAAATCCCTCCCACGTTAACTTGGGATGGCCCTCCTCTTCTCTCCCAAGGGCGTGGCACACAGTCCACACTCAGTAAATAGTTGCTGAGTGAATAACAAAAGAATGAAAATGTTCTCGGCCCTGTGGATCAGTCAGCCCTGCCTGGCTTCTGCAGTCTCTGCTTCTGAGGCTCCCTCTGGACATCTGGACATCTGCCCTTCTCCCCACAGCTCTGCAGTGCCCGGCCCACAGCTTCTTCAGCAGCTGCCTGCCTCCCTGCCCCCCTTCCTGCTCGGACCCAGAGGGCCTCTGCAAGAGCACAAGCCTTGCCCCTTCCGCTTGCAGAGAAGGCTGCCTGTGTCACCCTGGCTTTGCTCTCCAGGAGGACAAGTGTGTGCCCACAGCTCTCTGTGGCTGCAGAGATGCCCACGGTGCCTTCATCCCAGTGAGTGGGTGTGCAGAGTGGGCTTGGGGTCCCCTTCCTTCTCCCCTGCTTGTCTGCCTGGGATGCAGCGGTCAGGGCGGAAGCCCTGCAGTGTGGAGACTGCTTAGGGCACACAGCAGGCAGCGACTCCAAGGAAGAGCCTTGCTGCCGGTGGCTCACTTCAGGGCTCTGGGCAAACCTAACTCTGCCGTGCAGCGCACCCAGGCTGACGTGATTCCAGGCAAGCAATGCACAGCTCAGCCACACCCCGAAACTCACTGGGAATTCTACAGAGGCCTCTGTGAATGTTCATGCCTGCATCTCCAGGCGCCCTTTTTAAAAATCAGATGTTTCCTCCTGGGTGACTGCATAGATACGGACCCGAAGACAGGGAGCGCACACCCAAACCCTTCAGGCTGAGGCCAAGCCTGGCTCCAGAGCAGCCCTCAGTTTCCACTTCCTTTCCATCCCTGGCTTCTGCAGGCAGGCAAGACCTGGCTGACCGCAGGCTGCTCCCAGAGCTGCACCTGCCTGACGGGGGCCGTCGAGTGCCAGGACTTCCACTGCCCTTCGGGGACCTTCTGCCAGAACAGCGAGGACGGCAACAGTAACTGTGTCCGAATCAGTAAGGGAGCCAGGGGCAGCACGGGAAGGGTGTGCTCACGGAGGGAAATCAGAGGCAGGGCAGGGAGGACCTTGTCCTCTGGGGCTTAAGGCCAGGGTGGGAGTGACCCTCGTTGGAAAAGACTTCATGCTAGCCCTTCCTCAGCGTGAGCCCCTCAGCCGTTCTCCCCGCATGCCCCTCCCTGTCTCCTCTGACCGCCCGACATGCAGCCCGTAGCCAGTAAGTGTTTGCTGAACACACAGGGAAAGGGAAGGAAAAGGCTTGAGATCTCTTGGTGGCTCTGGCCTGCGGGAGGGTTTCTGATGCTGTTTCTGTGTTCCCCTCTGCTGCTTCCATGAGCCCTCTCCTTCAACCCCACAGCTCTGCGCTGCCTGGTCCACAGCTACTACACCCGCTGCCTTCCCTCCTGCCTGCCTTCCTGCTCGGACCCGGATGCCCACTGCCAGGACTCCAGCACCACAGCCCCCTCCGTCTGCAAGGCGGGATGTGTCTGTGAGCCTGGCTACGTGGTGAACGACCACAAGTGTGTGCTCAAGACTGAATGTGGCTGCCCAGACAGCCACGATGGCTTCATCCTGGTGAGTCGGGGCAGAAAGTGGGTTTCACCGGGAGGTGGCTCAGCGGGTAAAGAAGTTGCTGTCTAAATGTGAAGGCCTGGGTTTAAGACTGGCACAACTCGTATGTGATAAGCACAGCAGCCCGCGTCTGCCAACCCAGAGCTGCTGGGGAAGGGAGAAGAGACGGCAGTCCCCAGAGTCCGAGGTTAATTAGTGTGTGTGTGCACAGAACCCGGACAGTAACAGGAAAGAGACCCGGAGAGGCAGAGGGAGACACAGAGAGACAGACAGACAGACAGGAGACAGGGAGAGACAGAGACAGACAGGAGACAGAAAGAGAGAGACAGAGAGAAAGACAGACAGAGAAATAGACAGAGACAGACAGATAGAGAGAGATACTGTCTCAATACAAAGCAGAAAACAAGCAGCAGCACTCCAGAGTTGTCTGGCCTCTACAGGGAAGTGCTTCCCAGTCACCGTGCACCAACACACAGAAACTTGTGGCAAATGTTTGTTTCCTTCTTTAAGTACAGCTGGCAACCACTTTCTCACTTGCTCCGCTCTCTCTGGGATTGGCCCTGCCTTGTGTCTGGCTCAGAGTCTGCCGGTTGGTCAGGGCTGCCCAGGCTCCGCAGGCGCCCACCGCCCAGCTGAGCACTCCTTCACCTGCGGGTCCTAGGCCAGCCTCCTGTTGGGGAGCAGCCGCCTGCTGAAGGAGGCTGGGCACTTCTCACCACCCTCACCCAGCAACAACCTCCCCGCCAGGGGCTGATCACTATCCACCACTCCGGGGGCCCACTGAGGAGTCCCAGCCCAGTCCTCCCACCGAGCCAACCGCAGCTCCCCCGTGACGGCTCTCGGCAGACACTGCAGCCCTCTGCCGGGTCTGCAGCCCCAGAAGCAGCATTTCCCCAAATACTGTCTACCTCTCCGTTGGTTGGAAAGTGCAGACCCTGAGGCAGACATGAGCCCCTGAGTCCCGCCCGGCCCGGCCCGACAGGAGGTGAACTGCCTCCTGAGATGCCTTTGGTTTTCACACCCTGTGTCTCCCCTTGGCATCTGCAGGAGGGCAAGTCCTGGATCTCCAGGGGCTGTACCCTGAGCTGCTCCTGCACAGCAGGTGTCGTCCAGTGCCAGGATTTCCACTGTCCCTTAGAGTCTGACTGCAGAGACACCGAGGATGGCCACAGTAACTGCTTCAAAATCAGTAAGGGAGCCATGGGGGAAGGTGGGGAGGGTGTGCTCATGGCTGGAGGGATGAGAGGGGGGCCCAGAAGGAGCTTAGACCCCAGGGCCTGTGAGATCTGGGAGAAGAGATACCACAGTGGGAGTGGAGTTGGGACCCATGCCCGGGCAGCTCCCTTCTCACTGTTAGGCCTCAGGTGTCAGTCTCCACATTACCCTGGAAGGACCCTTCTTCCTGTTGAAGATGCAATTTTCAATTCCAGGTGTAATGGTGTGTCTGTACATGGGTAGGTGCACCTGAGTCAGGGCATGGCTGAGCCGCAAGAGGACATCAGGTGCCCTGGGGCTGGAGTTACATGGCATTTCTGAGCAGGCCAAGTGAAACGTGGGTCCACCGCAAGGCACAAGTCCCCCACACCGACGAGTCATCTCTCCAGCCCCAAGTGACCCATTCTTACTTTGCTTCCTTCGGGCTTGGCACCGAGTTCACACTCAGCAAATGTTAGCTGAAGGAGTAAGACTGGAGGCAGGGAGCTCTGCACTCTCAGTTTTCTGCCTCCTCTGGTCTCTGTCCCTTGCTTTGGCCCCTGTGTTCCTCTCCCCTAACCCCACTGTCTCCTGCCCACAGCTCTGCAGTGTCCAGACCACAGCCACTACACCCACTGCCTACCTCCTTGCCTGCCTTCCTGCCGGGACCCAGAAGGCCACTGTGAGGGCTTCAGCACCCGCGCCCCCTCCACCTGCAAGGAGGGCTGTGTCTGTGACCCTGGCTCTGTGCTGCGTGAGGACGTGTGTATCCTCAGAGTCCACTGTGAATGCAGAGACCCCCATGGTGCTGTCATCCCGGTGAGTGGTGTGGGCAGGGCCTGGGAAATGGCTCAGTGTTGAGACCTTTGCTCTGCAAGCAGGAGAACCTGAATTCGAATCCCAACAATCCGTGTCAACCTCGTTAGACTCTCTACTCCCAGGAGCTCCTGGGGGCTAGAGAGGAAGATGCGGGGACCCGAGAATCCCCAGAAACTTAAGAGCTAGCCAGTCATGTGTGGTCAGCAGTGAACAATAGGAGAGAGCTCTAGAGACAGGCAGAGAGAGGGACAGAGAGAGACAGACACACAGAGAGGGGCAAAGACAGAGGAGACAAAGACACAGAGAGAGACCCAAAGAGAGACAGAGGAAACAGAGAGACAGAGACAGAGAGACACACAGAGAGAGAGACAGACATAGAGAGAAAGAGACAGAGACAGTGAGAAAAGGACACAAAGAGAGACACAGAGAAGCACACAGAGACAAAAGAGGAGAGCAAGAGGCAATCTCAATAAAGATGGAAGCTGAGGGTTTCCTCTGGCCTCCGCATACACATGCACTTCTATTTATAAGTGTGCCGAAGAAAGCACAAACAGCCGTGTTCACGCACAACGCACACACACAGAGAGAAATTTTTTTGTTCTGAAAACATGGATTGTACGGGGCATGGTGGCACATTTCTTCAAGCTGGGCACTCAGGGGGCATGGGAAGAGGAGAGAGGGGAGACAAGAGAGGGGAGAGGAAAAAGGATGGGGGACATAGGGAGAGGGGAAAGGAGGAGATGGGGAGAGAGGGAGAGAGGTGAAGAGGGGGAGAGACAAGAGGAGATAAGGGGAGGGAGAAGGAGGAGAGGGAGAGAGAGGAAGGGGAGAGAGGAAAGGGAGAGAGAGGGAGAAAGGGAGAGGAAGAGATGGGGAGAAGGAAGAGGAGAGAAGGGGAGAGCAGGAGAGGGACAAGGGAAAGAAGGGAGAGGGGCAGAGGGGAGAGAGGAAGAGGAAAGAGGAGCAAAGGGGAAGAAGGAGAAAGGAGAGGGAAAAGGGAAAGAAGGGGATAAGAGAAGGAAAAGGGGGAGAGGAGGGAGAGGGCAGAGTGTGAGTGGGGACAAGGGTAGAAGATGGGAGAGGGGGAGAGGGGTAGAGTGGGGCAAGCGGAGAAGGCAGAGAGGGGACAGAGGGAAAGAAGAAGAGGGAGAGAGGCAGAGGAGGAGAGGTGGAGAGGGAAATATAGGGAGAGGGTAAAAGAGAGGGGAGAAGGGGAGAGGAGAAGGGGGAGAGATGGCAAGGGGAAGAAGGGGAGAGGCAGAGAGGCCGATGGGGAGAGGAGAGAGGGAGAGGGGACAGGCAGAGGGGCAGAGGCAGGAGCTAGAGGCACAGGCAGGCAGCTCTCTGTGAGCTTGAGACCTGCTAGGTCTCCAAAGTGAGTTCTAGGACAGGAGGGCTACACAAGGGAGAAGCTGTCTCGAAACAGCATCAAATACAGGAGAGCCAGCTAAGCCTGGGGTCACTTCCTCCTTCCTCCTCGTTTCTGCATTTGAAATGCTCCTGCCTGGATGGATAAAGGATGGGTAACCTACTAGGCAGTGTTCCTCTGTTGAGCCACGCCCCTGCGGCCTCCTAGGGACATTCTGGTCAGGGACTATGAGACTAGGTTACACTACCTAGCCTGAGCTGCTCTTTCGCTAGGGATCTGAGCAGACACTCTGTAAGGAGCCAGGCCCCTAGCCAACAGTTGGAGGATTCTAGGCAAATGCTCTGCAGCTGAGCCATGACCTTGTCCAACCTGCACCATCCCTGAGGATGCTGGGTGGAACTCCTGTGTCTGAGCTATCCCCAAGCCAGCAATTGAGGACTACAGGCTTGAGCTCTAACTCTGAGCCACACCTTCAGCTTCTCCGTGCAACTGAAGGCATGTGCTGTACACCTAGGCTATGTCTGCAGCCCCAGAAATATTGTCCAAATCTTTCCTTCCATTTTTACAATAGATGAGGAACCTGTTTCTAAGGAGGGCAAAGGTCAGCCCTTCCCTTGGGAGATGAGGCTATTCCCCACTAAATGGTCCCTCTGCCCTGACTCCCACTTTTCTCTCCATGGCTTCTGCAGGCAGGCAAGACCTGGATCTCCAGAGGCTGCTCCCAGAGCTGCACCTGCGTGGGAGGGGTCATTCAGTGCCAGGATTTCCACTGTCCCCACGGGACCTTTTGCCATGACAGCAGTGATGGCCACAGTATATGCATCAAACTCAGTAAGGGGTTGTGGGGGAGGAGGGGAGGGTGTGCCCATGGCTGGAGGGCTCAGAAGGAGAACAGGCCTAGACCTCTGGGCTTTGAAGCTCTGTGACCAGCAGCACCACTGTGGGAAGGGATTGTGAGGGTCCATGGAGGGACAGACCCCTCATCACATGCCTTTAGAGTGTTAGTCTCCAAACTGACTTGGGAAGTCCAAATTCTTTTGAAAGATGTTTTAAATACATGTGTAATGGTGTGTCTGTGTGTGTGCCTGTGTGTGTGTGCCTGTGTGTGTGTTTGTGTGTGACTGTGTGTGTGCCTGTGTGTGTGTGTGCCTGTGTGTGTG